AAAACTTGTGATATTTGTAAGCTAACAGTTAAATACAAAAGTTGGTCTAAACATGTACAATCTATTCGACATCAAAACAATGGTATAAGACCAAGAATATCAAGAGAGACAATACCCAAACCACATAGAGTTTTCAATTTTAGTGAAGAAATTTTTGAAAAAAACAACACTATTCGACCTATTTTAAAAAATAAAGAAACAGCATTTCAAAGTAGATTAAAAACTTATATTATTAAAAATAATATGGGTATTAAATATATACAAGTGTTTTTAAATCGTTTAGATAATCCAGTAATAGGACGACTTAAACATGAATTAAATAAGAGAAATTTAAAAGTTAATATTATGTTTCTTGCTATATATAAGAGAGGCACTAATGAAGAAAATATGGAATATAAAGAATGTAATTTTAAGACTCAAAATGAAATTTTAACACAAATTTCTAACTTAAATGAATTTTATACAAATGCAAAAATTAAAATTGTAAAAGAAGAAGAAGATTTTGTAATGAAAAATTCACAATGGATACTTCATCAAATTTTAAGTTTGGGAATAAATATAAATAAATATGTTCCTTTTAAGGGTTCTTCATATATTCCATTACCTAAACATATTAGTAATAAAAAGGGTATTATAAATGTTAAAAATGAAGATGATAAATGTTTTCTTTGGGCAATACTCTCTGCTTTACATCCTGTTGAAAAAGATGCTCAAAGAGTAACTAAATATATTCCTTTTAAAAATGAATTTGATAAAGAATTTAAAGATATTGAATTTCCGGTAAAAATCACAGACGTTCCAAAATTTGTTAAAAGAACAAAAGATATTTCTATTAATATTTTTTATTTAGATAAAAATGTAATTGAACCTTTAGGTGAAATAATTAAAATCGAAAAAACTAATCATATAGATTTATTATATTTAACAGAGGATAATAATGTGAATGAAGGACATTATTGTTGGATTAAAGATTTATGGAAAGTAATAGGAAGACAAGTTACAAAAATGGTCATAAAAGATTTTTATGTAAAATGTGTTTAAATAGTTTTGATGAAGAAGATAAGTTAAATGATCATAAACATTATTGTGCTAATAATAAAGCTGCTAAAATAGTTCTACCAGAACTCTATAATAAAACTTTAGAATTTCAAAATTATAATCATTCCTTAAGAGTACCTTTTGTGGTTTTTGCTGACTATGAATGTACTCTTAAACCAATATATACTTGTCAACCAAATGATACAGAGTCTTTTACTAATTGTTATCAGAAACATATACCTAATAATTTTTGTTATTATATTAAATATAGTAATGGTGATTATAAACCTCCTGTAACATATTCTGGTCCAAACGTAGCTCAAGAATTTTATGAATGTATGAAAAATGAAGAAATACTTATTTCTAAAATATATGATAAAATAGTTCCTATGAAAACATTGAATGTAGAACAATTAAATAATTATTATTATAAATCTGATAAATGTCATATTTGTGAAAGATATTTATCAGATTTACCCCCAATGTTAGAGAAAAAAATTAAAATAAGTAAAGACACTATTGAATATTATAAAAATACTGATGTTAAAAATTTTAAATTGTATGAAGATGAACTTAAAATAATTAAAGACAATATTGAATATTATAAAAATACTGATGATGTTAAAAATTTTAAATATTATGAAGATAAACTTAAAATAATTAAAGACCCTATTAAATATTATAAAAAAGAATTAAATTTTTATGAAGATAAACTTAAAAAAGAATTAGAAAATAAAAATAAAAATATGCAAAAAGTTCGGGATCATGACCACTTAACTGGAGAATATAGAGGAGCAGAACATTCTATCTGTAATCTTAATTATCAAAATCCACGTTTTATTTCAATTGTTTTTCATAATCTTTCAGGTTATGATGCGCATCTATTTATAAAAGAATTTGGGAACGATAATGAAAGAATAAAATTGATCTCAAGTACTGAGGAAAAATATATTTCTTTTACAAAAATGATGTCACGTGTAGTAACTAGGAATGGTAAATACATAAAAATATGTACAGAATTAAGATTTATAGATTCATTCAAATTTTTACCTAGTTCTTTAGAAAAGTTAACAAATAATTTAAGAAATGATTCGAAATTAAATTTAAAAAATAAATTTAAAGAACTTAGTAAATATTTTCCTGAAGAACATTTAGATTTAGTTACTAGAAAGTTAGCATATCCCTATGAGTATATGGATTGTGAAGAAAAATTTAATGAAACATGTTTACCTCCTATTGAAAAATTTTATAGTTCTCTCACAGATAAAAATATAACTAAAGAGGAATATGAAAACTCACAGAAAATTTGGAAAGTGTTTAATATACAAAATATGCGTGAATTCACTAGTTTATATAATAGGATCGATGTTTTATTATTAACAGATATAATAGACAATTTTAGAGATATTTCTTTAAAAAATTATAAATTAGATCCTATGTGGTATTACACAACACCAGGATTTGCATGGGATTGTATGTTAAGAATGACAAATGTAAAATTAGATTTATTAACAGATGTCGATCAATTATTGATGTTTGAATCTGGAATCAGAGGTGGATTATCTCAATGTAGTCAAAGATATTCAAAAGCAAATAATAAATACATGGGAGATAAATTTAAAAAAAAGGATGAATCAATATTTTTAGAATACTTAGATGCAAATAATCTTTATGGTTGGGCAATGAGTAAATCAGTAGATCAGTATCTTTCTTAAAAATGAAATTGCAAATATTATTTACACAACTATCGGAAACAGTGACATTCTCAAAATTTAATTCTGGATATTCTGTCTTAATATACTGAGCTACCTCATTCAATTTATGTCTTAAACTAATTTTTAAGCTTGCAAATTGTTAACCTACTGTGTCTGATATAAATTCGACAACACTTTTGTAGGAAACTTTTGTATGTCTGATAAATTCAACGACACTTTTGTATGTCTGATATTGTAATTCAACGACACTTTTGTATGCCTGAAATAATAATTCAACGGCAGTTTTGTGTGTCTGATATTGTAATTCAACGACACTTTTGTATACCTAACTATACCTAACACTAAAATAAAATAAAAGAAAAACAATATTTAAAAAATAATTTAATAATAAAAAACACTATAAAAATAAAAACTAAAAAATAATTAAATTATAAAAAAACACTGTACAAAATGAAAACTTTAAATAATAAAAACACAATTAAAACAATTTTTAGCAATTAAATGTGTATAATTAGCACTTTGCAGAATAACCGCAGAAAACAAAAGTAAAAGCGCTTGGAATAAATCGAATAATTAATATTTCTAACAATTAAATGTTTAGAATTAGCACTTGGTAGAAACCGCAGAAACACCGAAGTGAGTGTGCAAGGAAAAAGCAGCGGAAAACCGAATTGAATGCGCGAGGAAAAAGCCGAAGAAAACCGAATAGAAAATGTGTAAAAAAACCCAGATCACTTGCGCCTGAAAAATACATAGATTTTACTTTTAAAATAAAGTATAAATATTAATGTATTCAATAATATTTTACACTTTTAGAAATCATCATTAAACTCGTGGCAATGACACACTGGCACACATGGATAATAAATTAAGATATTTTAAGAGAACAAAAATATTAAAGACATGATAATTTTAAATTGAAAAAATAAGTACCTATTACTTGTTAAAAAATTATGTTATTATGAAAACGAACGCTAATTTTAAAATAAATCTTTATAGAAAAGTTATTAATTCTATGATGACTGTAGCCTGTGCTGACGATTGTCACTTTCAAAATATTGAATACTTAAACAATAAATATTACACATTTATCATTTCAATAATTAAATTAAATTAAGTCTAAAAAGGATACAATACTGAGCTCAATAATAAGGCAAACGGACAGTTTGTACTATCTATTGTTTGAGTTGCATATCGCGGACACTTTGTACGGTGAAAATAATTTGGTAAAAATCGATCGCGGACACTTTGTACGGTGATAATAAATTGGTAAAATTCGATCGCAGACGTTTTGTACGGTATAAATAAACCGGGAAATGTACCTTAAAAGATGAGATAAAATTTAATTGCTCAAAACTTTAGATTGCGAATCATGATCGCGATTAGTATGAGACATATGTTTGGTGTCACAGGCCACAGCATTAAAAGTATTAAAATATTAACTTATTCACTATATAAAATGAACAAAAATCAAACTAGCAAACTGACAGACACCAAACAATTAAGAACTCACACAGGACGAATAATTTTAGTGAAGGATGGAACAGTTCGTTCAATAAACTGGTTTGATCGGTTAATCCAAGTTTCTAGACTGTTTTGCGGTCTTTGCAATTAGACGAATGCTCTAGTCATTTGAACAAAAACCCACGAAATAAAAATCAAAATACACAATAGAAAATTCGTGATGCCTGTGTACAGCATGAAAGTAAAATAATATCTAATTTACAATTGCTCGAAATAATTTGCCATACGTTTAATTTTTAAATATATATATTATGATTTATGTGATAGTGAATGTTTTAAAAATACGCACCACGAATTTATTACCATAAATATTATTATTATTATTATTATTTTTTTTTTTATATATGTTAACTACCTGTGTTTTGTAATAACAAATTAAACATTTTTTTTTAAATAGAACAAACTGTCCGCCATGTATATTTTATTACTTTTTGAAATAGTACAAACTGTCCGCGGTTTTCATTTTTTGTGGGTGACCGTACAAAGTGTCCTACAACCCAATAATAAATGCAATAATCCAATCCTGTGTACAACAGTTAACCCTTTCAGTCACACATAAAAAAAAATTTCAAACATCAATTTTTTTTTGGAAATGTTTATTTATTTTACTTATCATATTACATAAAAAATAATAATAAAAAAAAAAATTTAGTCTTTGTACTTAAAAAATGGTGGTTAATAGGTCAAACCACTATGACAGTCGACAAACGCATAAATTAATTATTATTTAGCATGAAATGCTTTAAAACAATTTTTATGTGGTGTCATACACAAACCAACTCCACATGATGAACATTCCCATCTTGTTCTTCGGGGATTTTCTTTTGTACTACAATGATGACATCTTCTGGAAGTACATATAGATGGCATATGTCCGGCATTTGAGTATCTTTTTTCAATCGGTATTTTTGATTTAAACATATTAATAGGTTTGGGTGGTGTTTTTTTTACCTTTTGTTTGTTCAGCTGGCAGTCCAATTAACCCAGCTATAACTGCAAGTCTGTACTCTTTTAATACCATTTTTGCTCCATCATTTGTTTGGTTAAATAATATACATGAATTACAAACCTCTACATCAACAAAATGGAAAAAGATTCTGTGCCACCACTTGCGACTCTTTCTGCTGATTTGGTAACAAGACTTTAGCATATCAGCTTTATCAACATACCCCATATGTTGATTGTAATCTTTTACAGCTTGTGGACAGTTAATGACTATTTTTGATCCATCTTTAGCTTTTCTATTACAAGTAGTTATATGGTCCGGGTTATGATAATTTGATAAAAATTGGATAGTACGGTTATCCCTCCATTTTATCCAAGAAACACCTGTTGATGACACACGACCTTCACTTTCACCTTTTTGCATATTTTTATCAAGAATTTGATTTTTTGGAAGATTTTTTCTATTTGCACGAACTGTTCCACAAGCATACACTTTATTTTGGAGTAATTCTTCCATCAGATCAAATGAAGTAAAAAAATTATCAAAAAATATTTTATGAAAATGTCCATAGATATTTTTTGTCAAATTTAAAACAATCCTTTTTCCTAATGATGTTTCAGTAGAATCAGTTTTACCCGTATACACTTCAAATTGACATACATATCCAGTTTGGTCAGCTCTTATCCAGACTTTATAGCCCCTTTTCACCGGTTTCATAGGCATATATTGTTTTAATGTACTTCGTCCTTTAAAAAGAATCATACTTTCATCAACCAATTGGTGCTCATTGGGATTGAAATGCTGAAGAAACGTTTTGGAGAGAGAATCTAGCAACGGTCTTACTTTATATAGTTTATCAAAATTAGGTTCATTTCTTTTGGGTGCAAGTAAATTGTCATTGATATGTAAATGTGATAGAAACCATGAAAATCTATTGACAGGCATAATAGATGAAATGTAAGGGTCTCTAAGTTGTTCATTTGAAGACCAATAATCTTTATAAGATGCCTGTTTCTTTATACCCATTAAAATATTGATTGCTAAAAAGGCTTTCATTGATTTAGAATCACAAGGTTGGTAAGATTTCTGTTGTTGTTGTGCATAATAGTTGGTTTGAAACACTATATGTTCAATAAGCTCTTCAGTAAATTACAGTAAAAAAAACTAACAGGGTCATACAAATTATCTGGTACATTTGGTCCAAGTGGTGTATTTCCCATGAACTTCTTTGGCTGAGTTACAAAACCATGTTCTTCCCAGATCCCTTCAATGTTCAGTACTCTATCTGCAAGAGGCATGTCTTCTGAATTCATACCATTAGGAAGTAAATTAATGTTGTTCTGGAAAAAACATTGATTAATTAAAATAATAATATCACACTGTTTTAAAAATGTATATAGTTATACATACAATATCATTTTCAATTTGAATTTCATTAGAAATTACTTCATCTTGAACATTTTGAAAATTAGGTACGGTTATAACTATATAATCATTAATTGTTTCAGTCAGTTGTTCATCTAAGTAGTTACTTTGTATTTGATTGTCCTATTTATAAGTATAGAAATTAATTTATAATTCACACTATAATATCATATCAACAATCGTAAAATTAATTTACTTCAATAGCAGTATAATCATCTTCTTCAAAATCTGACTCGTCACCAATAATTGATTCATCATCACTTGGGATACTTTCAAATAATTGGAAAATCAAATCATGTGTCAAATCTTTTTCATCAATTATTTCATCAGTCATTGTGGTATGATTATGAAACCACCTAAAAAACCAGTAAAAAGTAAGTTAAAAATAGATTGACTTCCAAATTGAATAGTGAATAATAGTTTCATTGTACTTACCTTTCAAATAAACCGACTTCATTAACAATACTGTGAATTGTTTTCGAGTAATTAAATACATAGTCATGCAAAAATATGATAATAAAATATCGTAATTATTTGATAACAATAATACGATTAATTATTGAAACAATTGATTATTACAAAAACAGTTACATCAAACTTTTACAGTGCTACCAATAGACTTATTTAGAGGTGGTTTTGATACTATACCACTACGACAGAATGAGGAAAAAAATTGTAAAATAGTGGTTTCATTATGATACCACTATGACTGAAAGGGTTAATGTAGACTGCATGCCGCCTGAAAATGGATGGGAAAATAAATATAATGGGAAGTACAAGAGAAAGTTTAATTTACTTATCATGTCATGAAATCTTGTCATCAGACTTATTTTGCAACAGCTTGCGAGCTGAAATACTAAAAACATGAACTCTCCTTCAATGATAGAACTGTGACTGGATATTATGTTCACAAATAATAAACAACATAGAAATGTTTTTGTCATTACTTATGGTATTACTCAATTAAAGATATTTTTTTTTACCCATTTATGAATGAAATATTTCAAATATAAACCATTATAATATGTATGAATATGACTTAAGTATGTTTTAAGTTAATACTGAGGCCACTTAAGATCCAGAATCTGAATAATCAATTACATTAACTATTTGAATAATATATACATTTTAAAATGAATATCTTATAATTTGTTGTTATTGTCAAGAGAATATCAAATATATTTAATAATTAATATTGAAAACTTTTATTCAATATTACCTTACATATAGAAACAGTTTCAGTTATTCTAGAACCTGTTAAAAACTATTTCTCATCATGAAAATTATTTATTTACCTATATTTTTACAGTTATACAAACAAGTAACAACTTTGATATAAGTCATAATTTGATATATATTATTATTTATTAAATATTTTACTTACAAAAATAAATAATTATATAAACTCCAAATCCATCTTTTTAATGTACCTAGAATATTTATAGTAGGTACATGGGCAGATAACCTGTAAAATATTGGGTAGCAAACTCATCCCTACATCCCCATCAAACTAACTGTCACATGTGTGTAACACAAACATATTTTATTGTCTGTATCATAATATTTATAACATCTAATCAACAAATGTATAACAATGAAATAAACACAATTGAAATATAATTTTATTTTATTTGATATTGTATACTGTGAAATTGGATACTAGTCGGTATTAGCTCTGTACTGTATAAATGAATAATAAAAAATAATATTTTTATAGGTGTTGAATAATAATAAAAAAAATTTCCATACATAATTATGTAATCTGTACTAAACTACAATAATTGGTTATTTTCTCATTTTAAGGGGGACTTTATTTTCAAATATATTATTTTGGGGGTGGGAATAAATCTACGTTAGATCCCCTCCCATCGCCACCTATGAATACCCAGTACTATAAAATTGAATTATGAAAAATAAATGTAATATGGTTTATACAATACATAGAGTTTTGCCTATTTTTCGTTTGCATAGACACTACCATTCAGTATGTGGATAGGTAAACGGAACATGACATAATTAAAACAATTAACATAACATAAACTTACCTGTCTCCGTAGAATGTGATCTCTAACAAATTACATCGTTAAACAGTTTACACTTTTAATTAGTTAATGTAAACTGCAAAAGTACAATGTACATTTGTAAGAACGTGTCTTCGAAATTAGGGCAATTTATAACCTAACTTTAAATTAATATTGATTTGTATAATTCGGTATAGTTATGGTTTCGGTATAATTATCTTGGTAATGACGCCAATAGAATTTATTATTTATTTATATACTTTTAAAATAAATAGATATTAAATTACATAGGGCGACATCTACTTTATAGTTTCGATGCAATAGTTAGGCACCCTTGAAATTTAAAGAATGCAACCCAACGTGCAAGGTTTCTTATCACTAGTCGCCCGAAAAAACTAGTCACCTAGCCCAACTTCACACCCGTTTTGCCTGACACTGAAACTGATTTTGAAACATAAACATTTGTAAACTGTAAATCGCTTTTGACATCCACCTTGCGAGATGAAAGGCCCCAGGGTAACGAAATGTTATTCCACGAGGTGGTATTGCTCCAAGAAATATAACAGTTAGCTCTGATAGTTCTCTATAGTCTTCCCTACATAGTACATTGTCTCTCTTTTAACTCTTTATTACAAAATTCTATTATTAGATCTTTTTTATTTTCTACCGATGATTTTACAACTTGTTCAATCCAATAAAATAGTTTTGTGTATTGAAAGTTGGCCATTGTTGTTGAAACCGTTTAAAAATAGGTACATCAGGACCTGTAGTAGGCAATTTCAATTTTAAATCCAATACACTTTTTAATAATAGCTCAAAAATATGATGACGATATGGTAGATATAATAGATCACGATCAATGAGCTGTTCCAATAAAACACAAGTTCCATTTATACAGCCAGTATTTGATGCTGTAGTATCACAACATACAGCTTGTACTTTATCTTTAATATTCCATTCTTCCAACGATTCAAAAATAGTATTTGCTTGGCTTACACCAGTCCCATTTGAAAGCTTTAGTACACCTAGCAACTGGGTAATTCCTTCAAACGATATAACAATTGGTAATCGATCAACTTTCACTTTTTGACATAAATCGGGAAGTAATTTTCCATCCCAATGTAAAACTACGTAATCCAATTTTAATAAATTAAAATTAATTTTAAGTTCCTTTGCTCTTGTTTCACGGAACATTGCTCTTTTACCTTGTTATGTAGTTCTATTTATTTTAAGTTTAGAGATATCCTGACCTATAGCCTCTGCAGTTGAAATTATAATATGTATTGCGTCACGATCACTAATTTTACACAGAAAGTAATTTAGAAGACATTATTTCAATTGTGCCCCTTTTTTTATATCAGAAGTTCTTGACTCACCAAATTAAATACTTTCTTCTAAAATGGGATTATTTTCTTCGCCTGAACAACTTATGCTCAGAGATTCCAATTCGTCAAATTGATCTAATAAATAATGCAATAAATTACAATTAAAATATATTTTTAAAATGATATTAGAAATTATTGAATTATTTTAATATTTTATTTATTTACCTAAACATAGTTCATCGATTTCTAAGTGTTCTCTCTTTTTTTGTTCTGTTTTTTTTTAACTTTTCAATTTTTTCTTTTTCTTTTACAGCCAATTTATAATTAGTTCCTAACATACAACCCGGTTTCCCTTTTTGTCGCTGCAATAACAAAAACTTTTTATCTTCTTCATTTTTAATCATATTTAAGAGGACTCCACACCGAAAGTAAAACTTATGCAACGGCCAATAGAACGCGCTTTTAGGTGTTTTCGCGATCCGCAAGCACGCGGCATTTAAGCCACGCCCACAACTAGTAGCCGGCCGACGATTGTGTTTATACGAGAGCGATGTTTATTATTATCTGAACCTTCAACAGTGATGGATCGCGTAAATATACACGTAAAATGTAAATGCAACTGTAATATATGTAATATCCGCGGGTACATTATACGATTTGTATTTATTACATTATTAGATACTTCATAAAATATTTATAATACAGTAAATAATTTATAACAATAACCAAAACTAATATTACCTTAATATCTAAGTATTAGTTTTTTAGTAGGTAATATATTGAGTACATTTTGCGTTATACTTTTATACGCATAGGTACCTACTACCACTTACATATTTTTTAGGTAATTCAAAGAAAAATATAATATTGAGCATAATAACCTGATCCTACTTAAACACACTTAAGAATATATAATTTAATCATTTTATAATCTAATATTTAACTATAAAAAATAGTAAAAAAAAATTATTTCTTTTTCGTTTTAAATAAAACCTAATAAAAAATGATTTTATAAACTCTTCAACATCGGTAATTTTTAAATGTTGTTGAACTTATATGCTTACAATTTTAATTTGTTTTCCATTTTATTGTTCCAAAATAATTCATCATATTTTATATTCAAATGCAAGTCCATGATTCAGTGTGAAATGTGAATGATAAAATAACATCAATTTTTACTTACTAACACGAGGCGCGATCGTTTCTAACGCAAGTTACTACCATTTCTTTATTAAAGTCCTGTTTACTTAAATAT